AAATAAAATGAAATCTTTAATTAATCAAAATACGGACATGGGAATAAATAACAGGAATCTCAGCGATGAGTAAAACGCGTACAAGAACATGTAAAAACAGAAGGCGAAAAATTCTCTTTTGCAGAAGAAAATGTGTGTGTGTGTGGGGGGGGGAAGTAGCCTCACAAAATAAGAGAAGTAAATAAAGATAAGATACGTGGAAGTACAGGAACAGAGGCATAGAAATTAATATTTATTCAGTGCAAAATCTAGTAAATAAATGAACCTAAACTGTTGAGGTCAGTTTTAATCAACAGTTCGTGATCATTCATGGAAAACTTTCTTAAACTGACGTTTGGTCTTCTTCACAGAGTATGGAATGTACAGGGAGGAAATGAAAGAGTGGTAGAATGCAGTGTCCCTCTCTTTTTGAGTTAACTACTTCGATCTACATGTCATGTGGAAGTGAAAAGAAAATCGAATTGTTCACAGAATATCGAATGTACAGGGAGGAAATGAGTTTGACGCGCAGAACTGAACGACAATTCATTCAAAACACACAAGGAAACAAGTACGCAGGGTCGACAGAGGATGAGGAAATCATTAGAATTGACAATGGCATGGAAATGAATTCATAACAGGTTCGAAAAGAGTCAAAAAAAGGGCGTGAATTCGGTACCAAACGCCAGTAACGAAGCGCATTTCAATGCAGCTTTTATGTGCGTCACGCAGAAGTAAAGAATGAACACAGTGTCCCTTATCTGTTCAGGGTTTCTTTCAGATGCAAACAGAGTGGAAAAAGAAGTAAATGAATGCAGTTTCTTTCTGAGAAAAAAGGAATGAAAATAAAGTCTGTTCAAGGAAATAAACTTTTAAATAATTAGTGGAAAATGCTTACACCACCTTTGAAAGTGGAATGAAAAGTTGAAATACTTTATCGGATATTGTTCTAATTCAACGTGTGAGAAAGCTATGAGAGTTACATCAAACTGTTAGCAAAGCTGAACTGTTGAAAGGAATTGTTAGAAAAGCAAATTCAACAAATGTAAATAGAGTTGAATAAATGTGAATGTTCTTTCGGAAACTGTAACGGGAGCACTCAGAAAGAGTTGTGCTTGCTATAATTTTTGAAATGGAATCGAAATTTTTATGAGAATAAAGAGTTGTAGAAGCAGTGTATCACAAAACTTTTTAGAATTGCCATAACTTGTTTTTGGAATATAGTGATCGCATCGACCGCAGTGCGGCGAAGCCGCAGTGAGGTGATGGCGATCAGTCGGTTTAGGCAAAGTCCCCGGTTTGTGTGTTTGGCCCCCCTCCTGGTGCGCGCCGAAGGCGCGCACATAGTCTCCCCGCAGGGGCCAAACACGCTAACCGTGTAAAAAATTGCATGCTTTCTTGTTTAACGCGAAACTTTTAAAGTTTTGAGTTCTTGTTTTTATAGTATAAATTTATGCATAATGATTGAACAGACTGGTTGCATGGGGTTTTCGTGGTTTCCCTCATGTGTCACGTAAATACGGACCAGTTTTTTCAAGTCATTTTTGTATTTTATGTGAGAAGACCTCCACGAAGGCATAAAATAAAGTTGAATGTAAATGAACACACAATAAATAAAACTGAAAAACAACATGTTACAGGGAGGGAGACACAAATGCACAAATTCAATAAATATTTAAATAGGAATTTAACTGAATATACACACATCTATATAAACACATGCTACACACATTATAATTTTGAAATTAAAAGAACATAAATAAAGTAGAAATATACATATAAAGAACATGCAACAGGGAGGGAAACACGTATGTAAAATGTAAGGCTACTTTCACAGCACATACTCGGGATTTCATAGCTGCACTTGCACTCATTCAATAAATATTTAAATAGAAATTAAATTGAATACACACACATCTATATGAACACATTAATTGTTAGAAGGAGTTACATTAATTGTTAGTATTATTGGAGTTAAATTAATTGTTACATTAATTGTTAGTATTATTGGAGTTACATTAATTGTTACATTAATTGTTAGAAGGTTAGAAGGACATTGTTAGAAGGAGGGAAACGCATATGTGATATGTAAGGCTACTATCACAGATTTTCGGGATTTCACACATGCAATAAATCAATAAATATTTCAATAGAAATTTAATCAAACACAAAAAAACATCATCTATATACATGCTCTCTCTCTCTCTCTCTCTCTCACTCACTCACTCTCTCTCTCTATATATCTATCTGTCTATCTATCTATCTATCTATCTAACTCTATCTACCTATCTATACCTGCGTCCTTTCACGTTTGGTTTCCAAAATTAAATTGAGCGAAAACGTGTTAAAAGGTTGCCAGAAAGTAACGAAGTCGCCTTAGGAGTGCTACCAGAATTAAAAAACAGTCACGTGGAAGCGCCATTGAAATGAAAAAGGAATTTGAAATATGTATGTATTTAAAATAAAGTAAGTAAAAAGTATACATACATAAAAATATTACTGTAATGAACTGTTAGTTATGAAAAAGAAAATGATACTCAAAAGAAGTGTTAGGTGTTAAACAAAAATTATAAGCAAAAAACTGTGATGAAACCTAATCAGGTATGTAACGAAAATTTAAATTAAAAAAAAATATGAACCGAAATGAATTATCCTAAAAAATATCCGATGGAATTCATTCATGTATGTTACGAAAATTTTAATTAAATAAAAAGAAATCTTACAGGGAAACTGGCGGCGCAGCGGTCGGATCGCTGAATATTGGTTTCATGAATTTGTAACATGCATAACAGACGTCCGTCCCTCATGCAGGTAGCCGCAGTATTACCTAAACAAAAAAAAAATGAATTGCTTATTTAAGAACATCTTAATAAAGAAAGAAAGAAACAGAAACGGGATTAAGAAATTGTGAGGTCTTATTAATGGCTAGACACCCAATAAAATAAAATGAAATCTTTAATTAATCAAAATACGGACATGGGAATAAATAACAGGAATCTCAGCGATGAGTAAAACGCGTACAAGAACATGTAAAAACAGAAGGCGAAAAATTCTCTTTTGCAGAAGAAAATGTGTGTGTGGGGGGGGGGGGAAGTAGCCTCACAAAATAAGAGAAGTAAATAAAGATAAGATACGTGGAAGTACAGGAACAGAGGCATAGAAATTAATATTTATTCAGTGCAAAATCTAGTAAATAAATGAACCTAAACTGTTGAGGTCAGTTTTAATCAACAGTTCGTGATCATTCATGGAAAACTTTCTTAAACTGACGTTTGGTCTTCTTCACAGAGTATGGAATGTACAGGGAGGAAATGAAAGAGTGGTAGAATGCAGTGTCCCTCTCTTTTTTGAGTTAACTACTTCGATCTACATGTCATGTGGAAGTGAAAAGAAAATCGAATTGTTCACAGAATATCGAATGTACAGGGAGGAAATGAGTTTGACGCGCAGAACTGAACGACAATTCATTCAAAACACACAAGGAAACAAGTACGCAGGGTCGACAGAGGATGAGGAAATCATTAGAATTGACAATGGCATGGAAATGAATTCATAACAGGTTCGAAAAGAGTCAAAAAAAAGGGCGTGAATTCGGTACCAAACGCCAGTAACGAAGCGCATTTCAATGCAGCTTTTATGTGCGTCACGCAGAAGTAAAGAATGAACACAGTGTCCCTTATCTGTTCAGGGTTTCTTTCAGATGCAAACAGAGTGGAAAAAGAAGTAAATGAATGCAGTTTCTTTCTGAGAAAAAAGGAATGAAAATAAAGTCTGTTCAAGGAAATAAACTTTTAAATAATTAGTGGAAAATGCTTACACCACCTTTGAAAGTGGAATGAAAAGTTGAAATACTTTATCGGATATTGTTCTAATTCAACGGTGAGAAAGCTATGAGAGTTACATCAAACTGTTAGCAAAGCTGAACTGTTGAAAGGAATTGTTAGAAAAGCAAATTCAACAAATGTAAATAGAGTTGAATAAATGTGAATGTTCTTTCGGAAACTGTAACGGGAGCACTCAGAAAGAGTTGTGCTTGCTATAATTTTTGAAATGGAATCGAAATTTTTATGAGAATAAAGAGTTGTAGAAGCAGTGTATCACAAAACTTTTTAGAATTGCCATAACTTGTTTTTGGAATATAGTGATCGCATCGACCGCAGTGCGGCGAAGCCGCAGTGAGGTGATGGCGATCAGTCGGTTTAGGCAAAGTCCCCGGTTTGTGTGTTTGGCCCCCCTCCTGGTGCGCGCCGAAGGCGCGCACATAGTCTCCCCGCAGGGGCCAAACACGCTAACCGTGTAAAAAATTGCATGCTTTCTTGTTTAACGCGAAACTTTTAAAGTTTTGAGTTCTTGTTTTTATAGTATAAATTTATGCATAATGATTGAACAGACTGGTTGCATGGGGTTTTCGTGGTTTCCCTCATGTGTCACGTAAATACGGACCAGTTTTTTCAAGTCATTTTTGTATTTTATGTGAGAAGACCTCCACGAAGGCATAAAATAAAGTTGAATGTAAATGAACACAAATAAATAAAACTGAAAACAAACATGTTACAGGGAGGGAGACACAAATGCACAAATTCAATAAATATTTAAATAGGAATTTAACTGAATATACACACATCTATATAAACACATGCTACACACATTATAATTTTGAAATTAAAAGAACATAAATAAAGTAGAAATATACATATAAAGAACATGCAACAGGGAGGGAAACACGTATGTAAAATGTAAGGCTACTTTCACAGCACATACTCGGGATTTCATAGCTGCACTTGCACTCATTCAATAAATATTTAAATAGAAATTAAATTGAATACACACACACATCTATATGAACACATTAATTGTTAGAAGGAGTTACATTAATTGTTAGTATTATTGGAGTTAAATTAATTGTTACATTAATTGTTAGTATTATTGGAGTTACATTAATTGTTACATTAATTGTTAGTATTATTGGAGTTACATTAATTGTTAGAAGGACATTGTTAGAAGGAGGGAAACGCATATGTGATATGTAAGGCTACTATCACAGATTTTCGGGATTTCACACATGCAATAAATCAATAAATATTTCAATAGAAATTTAATCAAACACAAAAAAACACATCTATATACATGCTCTCTCTCTCTCTCATCTCACTCACTCACTCACTCTCTCTCTCTATCTATATATCTATCTGTCTATCTATCTATCTATCTATCTAACTCTATCTACCTATCTATACCTGCGTCCTTTCACGTTTGGTTTCCAAAATTAAAATTGAGCGAAAACGTGTTAAAAGGTTGCCAGAAAGTAACGAAGTCGCCTTAGGAGTGCTACCAGAATTAAAAAAACAGTCACGTGGAAGCGCCATTGAAATGAAAAAGGAATTTGAAATATGTATGTATTTAAAATAAAGTAAGTAAAAAGTATACATACATAAAAATATTACTGTAATGAACTGTTAGTTATGAAAAAGAAAATGATACTCAAAAGAAGTGTTAGGTGTTAAACAAAAATTATAGCAAAAAACTGTGATGAAACCTAAACAGGTATGTAACGAAAATTTAAATTAAAAAAAAATATGAACCGAAATGAATTATCCTAAAAAATATCCGATGGAATTCATTCATGTATGTTACGAAAATTTTAATTAAATAAAAAGAAATCTTACAGGGAAACTGGCGGCGCAGCGGTCGGATCGCTGAATATTGGTTTCATGAATTTGTAACATGCATAACAGACGTCCGTCCCTCATGCAGGTAGCCGCAGTATTACCTAAACAAAAAAAAAATGAATTGCTTATTTAAGAACATCTTAATAAAGAAAGAAAGAAACAGAAACGGGATTAAGAAATTGTGAGGTCTTATTAATGGCTAGACACCCAATAAAATAAAATGAAATCTTTAATTAATCAAAATACGGACATGGGAATAAATAACAGGAATCTCAGCGATGAGTAAAACGCGTACAAGAACATGTAAAAACAGAAGGCGAAAAATTCTCTTTTGCAGAAGAAAAATGTGTGTGTGGTGGGGGGGGAAGTAGCCTCACAAAATAAGAGAAGTAAATAAAGATAAGATACGTGGAAGTACAGGAACAGAGGCATAGAAATTAATATTTATTCAGTGCAAAATCTAGTAAATAAATGAACCTAAACTGTTGAGGTCAGTTTTAATCAACAGTTCGTGATCATTCATGGAAAACTTTCTTAAACTGACGTTTGGTCTTCTTCACAGAGTATGGAATGTACAGGGAGGAAATGAAAGAGTGGTAGAATGCAGTGTCCCTCTCTTTTTGAGTTAACTACTTCGATCTACATGTCATGTGGAAGTGAAAAGAAAATCGAATTGTTCACAGAATATCGAATGTACAGGGAGGAAATGAGTTTGACGCGCAGAACTGAACGACAATTCATTCAAAACACACAAGGAAACAAGTACGCAGGGTCGACAGAGGATGAGGAAATCATTAGAATTGACAATGGCATGGAAATGAATTCATAACAGGTTCGAAAAGAGTCAAAAAAAGGGCGTGAATTCGGTACCAAACGCCAGTAACGAAGCGCATTTCAATGCAGCTTTTATGTGCGTCACGCAGAAGTAAAGAATGAACACAGTGTCCCTTATCTGTTCAGGGTTTCTTTCAGATGCAAACAGAGTGGAAAAAGAAGTAAATGAATGCAGTTTCTTTCTGAGAAAAAAGGAATGAAAATAAAGTCTGTTCAAGGAAATAAACTTTTAAATAATTAGTGGAAAATGCTTACACCACCTTTGAAAGTGGAATGAAAAGTTGAAATACTTTATCGGATATTGTTCTAATTCAACGGTGAGAAAGCTATGAGAGTTACATCAAACTGTTAGCAAAGCTGAACTGTTGAAAGGAATTGTTAGAAAAGCAAATTCAACAAATGTAAATAGAGTTGAATAAATGTGAATGTTCTTTCGGAAACTGTAACGGGAGCACTCAGAAAGAGTTGTGCTTGCTATAATTTTTGAAATGGAATCGAAATTTTTATGAGAATAAAGAGTTGTAGAAGCAGTGTATCACAAAACTTTTTAGAATTGCCATAACTTGTTTTTGGAATATAGTGATCGCATCGACCGCAGTGCGGCGAAGCCGCAGTGAGGTGATGGCGATCAGTCGGTTTAGGCAAAGTCCCCGGTTTGTGTGTTTGGCCCCCCTCCTGGTGCGCGCCGAAGGCGCGCACATAGTCTCCCCGCAGGGGCCAAACACGCTAACCGTGTAAAAAATTGCATGCTTTCTTGTTTAACGCGAAACTTTTAAAGTTTTGAGTTCTTGTTTTTATAGTATAAATTTATGCATAATGATTGAACAGACTGGTTGCATGGGGTTTTCGTGGTTTCCCTCATGTGTCACGTAAATACGGACCAGTTTTTTCAAGTCATTTTTGTATTTTATGTGAGAAGACCTCCACGAAGGCATAAAATAAAGTTGAATGTAAATGAACACAAATAAATAAAACTGAAAACAAACATGTTACAGGGAGGGAGACACAAATGCACAAATTCAATAAATATTTAAATAGGAATTTAACTGAATATACACACATCTATATAAACACATGCTACACACATTATAATTTTGAAATTAAAAGAACATAAATAAAGTAGAAATATACATATAAAGAACATGCAACAGGGAGGGAAACACGTATGTAAAATGTAAGGCTACTTTCACAGCACATACTCGGGATTTCATAGCTGCACTTGCACTCATTCAATAAATATTTAAATAGAAATTAAATTGAATACACACACATCTATATGAACACATTAATTGTTAGAAGGAGTTACATTAATTGTTAGTATTATTGGAGTTAAATTAATTGTTACATTAATTGTTAGTATTATTGGAGTTACATTAATTGTTACATTAATTGTTAGTATTATTGGAGTTACATTAATTGTTAGAAGGACATTGTTAGAAGGAGGGAAACGCATATGTGATATGTAAGGCTACTATCACAGATTTTCGGGATTTCACACATGCAATAAATCAATAAATATTTCAATAGAAATTTAATCAAACACAAAAAACACATCTATATACATGCTCTCTCTCTCTCTCTCTCACTCACTCACTCACTCTCTCTCTCTCTATATATATATATATCTATCTGTCTATCTATCTATCTATCTATCTAACTCTATCTACCTATCTATACCTGCGTCCTTTCACGTTTGGTTTCCAAAATTAAATTGAGCGAAAACGTGTTAAAAGGTTGCCAGAAAGTAACGAAGTCGCCTTAGGAGTGCTACCAGAATTAAAAAACAGTCACGTGGAAGCGCCATTGAAATGAAAAAGGAATTTGAAATATGTATGTATTTAAAATAAAGTAAGTAAAAGTATACATACATAAAAATATTACTGTAATGAACTGTTAGTTATGAAAAAGAAAATGATACTCAAAAGAAGTGTTAGGTGTTAAACAAAAATTATAGCAAAAAACTGTGATGAAACCTAAACAGGTATGTAACGAAAATTTAAATTAAAAAAAAATATGAACCGAAATGAATTATCCTAAAAAATATCCGATGGAATTCATTCATGTATGTTACGAAAATTTTAATTAAATAAAAAGAAATCTTACAGGGAAACTGGCGGCGCAGCGGTCGGATCGCTGAATATTGGTTTCATGAATTTGTAACATGCATAACAGACGTCCGTCCCTCATGCAGGTAGCCGCAGTATTACCTAAACAAAACAAAAAAAATAAAAATGAATTGCTTAAATTTTAAGAAAAACAAAAATCTTAAAAATAAAGAAAGAAAGAAAAACAGAAAAACAGAAGGATTAAGAAAGTAAAAATCGTAAATAGAAAACAAAATAGAAGTAAACAGAAATAAAAATAAACATGAGAAAGTGAAATAGAAAAGAGTGTCATTTAGAAAATTGTTCACAGAATATCGAATGTACAGGGAGGAGGAAATGAGTTTGACGCGCAGAACTGAACGACAATTCATTCAAAACACACAAGGAAACAAGTACGCAGGGTCGACAGAGGATGAGGAAATCATTAGAATTGACAATGGCATGGAAATGAATTCATAACAGGTTCGAAAAGAGTCAAAAAAAGGGCGTGAATTCGGTACCAAACGCCAGTAACGAAGCGCATTTCAATGCAGCTTTTATGTGCGTCACGCAGAAGTAAAGAATGAACACAGTGTCCCTTATCTGTTCAGGGTTTCTTTCAGATGCAAACAGAGTGGAAAAAGAAGTAAATGAATGCAGTTTCTTTCTGAGAAAAAAGGAATGAAAATAAAGTCTGTTCAAGGAAATAAACTTTTAAATAATTAGTGGAAAATGCTTACACCACCTTTGAAAGTGGAATGAAAAGTTGAAATACTTTATCGGATATTGTTCTAATTCAACGGTGAGAAAGCTATGAGAGTTACATCAAACTGTTAGCAAAGCTGAACTGTTGAAAGGAATTGTTAGAAAAGCAAATTCAACAAATGTAAATAGAGTTGAATAAATGTGAATGTTCTTTCGGAAACTGTAACGGGAGCACTCAGAAAGAGTTGTGCTTGCTATAATTTTTGAAATGGAATCGAAATTTTTATGAGAATAAAGAGTTGTAGAAGCAGTGTATCACAAAACTTTTTAGAATTGCCATAACTTGTTTTTGGAATATAGTGATCGCATCGACCGCAGTGAGGTGATGGCGATCAGTCGGTTTAGGCAAAGTCCCCGGTTTGTGTGTTTGGCCCCCCTCCTGGTGCGCGCCGAAGGCGCGCACATAGTCTCCCCGCAGGGGCCAAACACGCTAACCGTGTAAAAAATTGCATGCTTTCTTGTTTAACGCGAAACTTTTAAAGTTTTGAGTTCTTGTTTTTATAGTATAAATTTATGCATAATGATTGAACAGACTGGTTGCATGGGGTTTTCGTGGTTTCCCTCATGTGTCACGTAAATACGGACCAGTTTTTTCAAGTCATTTTTGTATTTTATGTGAGAAGACCTCCACGAAGGCATAAAATAAAGTTGAATGTAAATGAACACAAATAAATAAAACTGAAAACAAACATGTTACAGGGAGGGAGACACAAATGCACAAATTCAATAAATATTTAAATAGGAATTTAACTGAATATACACACATCTATATAAACACATGCTACACACATTATAATTTTGAAATTAAAAGAACATAAATAAAGTAGAAATATACATATAAAGAACATGCAACAGGGAGGGAAACACGTATGTAAAATGTAAGGCTACTTTCACAGCACATACTCGGGATTTCATAGCTGCACTTGCACTCATTCAATAAATATTTAAATAGAAATTAAATTGAATACACACACATCTATATGAACACATTAATTGTTAGAAGGAGTTACATTAATTGTTAGTATTATTGGAGTTAAATTAATTGTTACATTAATTGTTAGTATTATTGGAGTTACATTAATTGTTAGAAGGACATTGTTAGAAGGAGGGAAACGCATATGTGATATGTAAGGCTACTATCACAGATTTTCGGGATTTCACACATGCAATAAATCAATAAATATTTCAATAGAAATTTAATCAAACACAAAAAACACATCTATATACATGCTCTCTCTCTCTCTCTCTCTCTCACTCACTCACTCACTCTCTCTCTCTATATCTATCTGTCTATCTATCTATCTATCTATCTAACTCTATCTACCTATCTATACCTGCGTCCTTTCACGTTTGGTTTCCAAAATTAAATTGAGCGAAAACGTGTTAAAAGGTTGCCAGAAAGTAACGAAGTCGCCTTAGGAGTGCTACCAGAATTAAAAAACAGTCACGTGGAAGCGCCATTGAAATGAAAAAGGAATTTGAAATATGTATGTATTTAAAATAAAGTAAGTAAAAGTATACATACATAAAAATATTACTGTAATGAACTGTTAGTTATGAAAAAGAAAATGATACTCAAAAGAAGTGTTAGGTGTTAAACAAAAATTATAGCAAAAAACTGTGATGAAACCTAAACAGGTATGTAACGAAAATTTAAATTAAAAAAAAATATGAACCGAAATGAATTATCCTAAAAAATATCCGATGGAATTCATTCATGTATGTTACGAAAATTTTAATTAAATAAAAAGAAATCTTACAGGGAAACTGGCGGCGCAGCGGTCGGATCGCTGAATATTGGTTTCATGAATTTGTAACATGCATAACAGACGTCCGTCCCTCATGCAGGTAGCCGCAGTATTACCTAAAAAAAAAAAAAAAATGAATTGCTTATTTAAGAACATCTTAATAAAGAAAGAAAGAAACAGAAACGGGATTAAGAAATTGTGAGGTCTTATTAATGGCTAGACACCCAATAAAATAAAATGAAATCTTTAATTAATCAAAATACGGACATGGGAATAAATAACAGGAATCTCAGCGATGAGTAAAACGCGTACAAGAACATGTAAAAACAGAAGGCGAAAAATTCTCTTTTGCAGAAGAAAATGTGTGTGTGTGTGGGGGGGGAAGTAGCCTCACAAAATAAGAGAAGTAAATAAAGATAAGATACGTGGAAGTACAGGAACAGAGGCATAGAAATTAATATTTATTCAGTGCAAAATCTAGTAAATAAATGAACCTAAACTGTTGAGGTCAGTTTTAATCAACAGTTCGTGATCATTCATGGAAAACTTTCTTAAACTGACGTTTGGTCTTCTTCACAGAGTATGGAATGTACAGGGAGGAAATGAAAGAGTGGTAGAATGCAGTGTCCCTCTCTTTTTTGAGTTAACTACTTCGATCTACATGTCATGTGGAAGTGAAAAGAAAATCGAATTGTTCACAGAATATCGAATGTACAGGGAGGAAATGAGTTTGACGCGCAGAACTGAACGACAATTCATTCAAAACACACAAGGAAACAAGTACGCAGGGTCGACAGAGGATGAGGAAATCATTAGAATTGACAATGGCATGGAAATGAATTCATAACAGGTTCGAAAAGAGTCAAAAAAAGGGCGTGAATTCGGTACCAAACGCCAGTAACGAAGCGCATTTCAATGCAGCTTTTATGTGCGTCACGCAGAAGTAAAGAATGAACACAGTGTCCCTTATCTGTTCAGGGTTTCTTTCAGATGCAAACAGAGTGGAAAAAGAAGTAAATGAATGCAGTTTCTTTCTGAGAAAAAAGGAATGAAAATAAAGTCTGTTCAAGGAAATAAACTTTTAAATAATTAGTGGAAAATGCTTACACCACCTTTGAAAGTGGAATGAAAAGTTGAAATACTTTATCGGATATTGTTCTAATTCAACGGTGAGAAAGCTATGAGAGTTACATCAAACTGTTAGCAAAGCTGAACTGTTGAAAGGAATTGTTAGAAAAGCAAATTCAACAAATGTAAATAGAGTTGAATAAATGTGAATGTTCTTTCGGAAACTGTAACGGGAGCACTCAGAAAGAGTTGTGCTTGCTATAATTTTTGAAATGGAATCGAAATTTTTATGAGAATAAAGAGTTGTAGAAGCAGTGTATCACAAAACTTTTTAGAATTGCCATAACTTGTTTTTGGAATATAGTGATCGCATCGACCGCAGTGCGGCGAAGCCGCAGTGAGGTGATGGCGATCAGTCGGTTTAGGCAAAGTCCCCGGTTTGTGTGTTTGGCCCCCCTCCTGGTGCGCGCCGAAGGCGCGCACATAGTCTCCCCGCAGGGGCCAAACACGCTAACCGTGTAAAAAATTGCATGCTTTCTTGTTTAACGCGAAACTTTTAAAGTTTTGAGTTCTTGTTTTTATAGTATAAATTTATGCATAATGATTGAACAGACTGGTTGCATGGGGTTTTCGTGGTTTCCCTCATGTGTCACGTAAATACGGACCAGTTTTTTCAAGTCATTTTTGTATTTTATGTGAGAAGACCTCCACGAAGGCATAAAATAAAGTTGAATGTAAATGAACACAAATAAATAAAACTGAAAACAAACATGTTACAGGGAGGGAGACACAAATGCACAAATTCAATAAATATTTAAATAGGAATTTAACTGAATATACACACATCTATATAAACACATGCTACACACATTATAATTTTGAAATTAAAAGAACATAAATAAAGTAGAAATATACATATAAAGAACATGCAACAGGGAGGGAAACACGTATGTAAAATGTAAGGCTACTTTCACAGCACATACTCGGGATTTCATAGCTGCACTTGCACTCATTCAATAAATATTTAAATAGAAATTAAATTGAATACACACACATCTATATGAACACATTAATTGTTAGAAGGAGTTACATTAATTGTTAGTATTATTGGAGTTAAATTAATTGTTACATTGTTAGTATTATTGGAGTTACATTAATTGTTACATTAATTGTTAGTATTATTGGAGTTACATTAATTGTTAGAAGGACATTGTTAGAAGGAGGGAAACGCATATGTGATATGTAAGGCTACTATCACAGATTTTCGGGATTTCACACATGCAATAAATCAATAAATATTTCAATAGAAATTTAATCAAACACAAAAAACACATCTATATACATGCTCTCTCTCTCTCTCTCTCTCTCACTCACTCACTCACTCTCTCTCTATATATCTATCTATCTATCTATCTATCTATCTAACTCTATCTACCTATCTATACCTGCGTCCTTTCACGTTTGGTTTCCAAAATTAAATTGAGCGAAAACGTGTTAAAAGGTTGCCAGAAAGTAACGAAGTCGCCTTAGGAGTGCTACCAGAATTAAAAAACAGTCACGTGGAAGCGCCATTGAAATGAAAAAGGAATTTGAAATATGTATGTATTTAAAATAAAGTAAGTAAAAAGTATACATACATAAAAATATTACTGTAATGAACTGTTAGTTATGAAAAAGAAAATGATACTCAAAAGAAGTGTTAGGTGTTAAACAAAAATTATAGCAAAAAACTGTGATGAAACCTAAATCAGGTATGTAACGAAAATTTAAATTAAAAAAAAATATGAACCGAAATGAATTATCCTAAAAAATATCCGATGGAATTCATTCATGTATGTTACGAAAATTTTAATTAAATAAAAAGAAATCTTACAGGGAAACTGGCGGCGCAGCGGTCGGATCGCTGAATATTGGTTTCATGAATTTGTAACATGCATAACAGACGTCCGTCCCTCATGCAGGTAGCCGCAGTATTACCTAAACAAAAAAAAAATGAATTGCTTATTTAAGAACATCTTAATAAAGAAAGAAAGAAACAGAAACGGGATTAAGAAATTGTGAGGTCTTATTAATGGCTAGACACCCAATAAAATAAAATGAAATCTTTAATTAATCAAAATACGGACATGGGAATAAATAACAGGAATCTCAGCGATGAGTAAAACGCGTACAAGAACATGTAAAAACAGAAGGCGAAAAATTCTCTTTTGCAGAAGAAAATGTGTGTGTGGGGGGGGGGGAAGTAGCCTCACAAAATAAGAGAAGTAAATAAAGATAAGATACGTGGAAGTACAGGAACAGAGGCATAGAAATTAATATTTATTCAGTGCAAAATCTAGTAAATAAATGAACCTAAACTGTTGAGGTCAGTTTTAATCAACAGTTCGTGATCATTCATGGAAAACTTTCTTAAACTGACGTTTGGTCTTCTTCACAGAGTATGGAATGTACAGGGAGGAAATGAAAGAGTGGTAGAATGCAGTGTCCCTCTCTTTTTGAGTTAACTACTTCGATCTACATGTCATGTGGAAGTGAAAAGAAAATCGAATTGTTCACAGAATATCGAATGTACAGGGAGGAAATGAGTTTGACGCGCAGAACTGAACGACAATTCATTCAAAACACACAAGGAAACAAGTACGCAGGGTCGACAGAGGATGAGGAAATCATTAGAATTGACAATGGCATGGAAATGAATTCATAACAGGTTCGAAAAGAGTCAAAAAAAGGGCGTGAATTCGGTACCAAACGCCAGTAACGAAGCGCATTTCAATGCAGCTTTTATGTGCGTCACGCAGAAGTAAAGAATGAACACAGTGTCCCTTATCTGTTCAGGGTTTCTTTCAGATGCAAACAGAGTGGAAAAAGAAGTAAATGAATGCAGTTTCTTTCTGAGAAAAAAGGAATGAAAATAAAGTCTGTTCAAGGAAATAAACTTTTAAATAATTAGTGGAAAATGCTTACACCACCTTTGAAAGTGGAATGAAAAGTTGAAATACTTTATCGGATATTGTTCTAATTCAACGGTGAGAAAGCTATGAGAGTTACATCAAACTGTTAGCAAAGCTGAACTGTTGAAAGGAATTGTTAGAAAAGCAAATTCAACAAATGTAAATAGAGTTGAATAAATGTGAATGTTCTTTCGGAAACTGTAACGGGAGCACTCAGAAAGAGTTGTGCTTGCTATAATTTTTGAAATGGAATCGAAATTTTTATGAGAATAAAGAGTTGTAGAAGCAGTGTATCACAAAACTTTTTAGAATTGCCATAACTTGTTTTTGGAATATAGTGATCGCAGTGCGGCGAAGCCGCAGTGAGGTGATGGCGATCAGTCGGTTTAGGCAAAGTCCCCGGTTTGTGTGTTTGGCCCCCCTCCTGGTGCGCGCCGAAGGCGCGCACATAGTCTCCCCGCAGGGGCCAAACACGCTAACCGTGTAAAAAATTGCATGCTTTCTTGTTTAACGCGAAACTTTTAAAGTTTTGAGTTCTTGTTTTTATAGTATAAATTTATGCATAATGATTGAACAGACTGGTTGCATGGGGTTTTCGTGGTTTCCCTCATGTGTCACGTAAATACGGACCAGTTTTTTCAAGTCATTTTTGTATTTTATGTGAGAAGACCTCCACGAAGGCATAAAATAAAGTTGAATGTAAATGAACACAAATAAATAAAACTGAAAACAAACATGTTACAGGGAGGGAGACACAAATGCACAAATTCAATAAATATTTAAATAGGAATTTAACTGAATATACACACATCTATATAAACACATGCTACACACATTATAATTTTGAAATTAAAAGAACATAAATAAAGTAGAAATATACATATAAAGAACATGCAACAGGGAGGGAAACACGTATGTAAAATGTAAGGCTACTTTCACAGCACATACTCGGGATTTCATAGCTGCACTTGCACTCATTCAATAAATATTTAAATAGAAATTAAATTGAATACACACACATCTATATGAACACATTAATTGTTAGAAGGAGTTACATTAATTGTTAGTATTATTGGAGTTAAATTAATTGTTACATTAATTGTTAGTATTATTGGAGTTACATTAATTGTTACATTAATTGTTAGTATTATTGGAGTTACATTAATTGTTAGAAGGACATTGTTAGAAGGAGGGAAACGCATATGTGATATGTAAGGCTACTATCACAGATTTTCGGGATTTCACACATGCAATAAATCAATAAATATTTCAATAGAAATTTAATCAAACACAAAAAACACATCTATATACATGCTCTCTCTCTCTCTCTCTCACTCACTCACTCACTCTCTCTCTATATATCTATCTGTCTATCTATCTATCTATCTATCTAACTCTATCTACCTATCTATACCTGCGTCCTTTCACGTTTGGTTTCCAAAATTAAATTGAGCGAAAACGTGTTAAAAGGTTGCCAGAAAGTAACGAAGTCGCCTTAGGAGTGCTACCAGAATTAAAAAAACAGTCACGTGGAAGCGCCATTGAAATGAAAAAGGAATTTGAAATATGTATATATTTAAAATAAAGTAAGTAAAAATATACATACACAAAAATATTACTGTAATGAACTGTTAGTTATGAAAAAGAAAATGATACTCAAAAGAAGTGTTAGGTGTTAAACAAAAATTATAGCAAAAAACTGTGATGAAACCTAATCAGGTATGTAACGAAAATTTAAATTAAAAAAAAATATGAACCGAAATGAATTATCCTAAAAAAATATCCGATGGAATTCATTCATGTATGTTACGAAAATTTTAATTAAATAAAAAGAAATCTTACAGGGAAACTGGCGGCGCAGCGGTCGGATCGCTGAATATTGGTTTCATGAATTTGTAACATGCATAACAGACGTCCGTCCCTCATGCAGGTAGCCGCAGTATTACCTAAACAAAAAAAAAATGAATTGCTTATTTAAGAACATCTTAATAAAGAAAGAAAGAAACAGAAACGGGATTAAGAAATTGTGAGGTCTTATTAATGGCTAGACACCCAATAAAATAAAATGAAATCTTTAATTAATCAAAATACGGACATGGGAATAAATAACAGGAATCTCAGCGATGAGTAAAACGCGTACAAGAACATGTAAAAACAGAAGGCGAAAAATTCTCTTTTGCAGAAGAAAATGTGTGTGTGTGTGGGGGGGGGGAAGTAGCCTCACAAAATAAGAGAAGTAAATAAAGATAAGATACGTGGAAGTACAGGAACAGAGGCATAGAAATTAATATTTATTCAGTGCAAAATCTAGTAAATAAATGAACCTAAACTGTTGAGGTCAGTTTTAATCAACAGTTCGTGATCATTCATGGAAAACTTTCTTAAACTGACGTTTGGTCTTCTTCACAGAGTATGGAATGTACAGGGAGGAAATGAAAGAGTGGTAGAATGCAGTGTCCCTCTCTTTTTGAGTTAACTACTTCGATCTACATGTCATGTGGAAGTGAAAAGAAAATCGAATTGTTCACAGAATATCGAATGTACAGGGAGGAAATGAGTTTGACGCGCAGAACTGAACGACAATTCATTCAAAACACACAAGGAAACAAGTACGCAGGGTCGACAGAGGATGAGGAAATCATTAGAATTGACAATGGCATGGAAATGAAT